AAAAAGAATCTACTGCATTTACAGCAAAGATCATGTGAAAGTTTTGTTTAATAAGAAAAATAAAATGTTTGTTATTCATAATATTAAAAACAGACCAAAAGGGCTTTTTTATAGTGATTTTATATTCAGCAAGTGTTTCCGTATAGGTGTGAATTGTTAGAGTTGCTGTGTTTTTTATGGAACATATCTTCCGAGTAAAGGAATAGGTGCATATATAATATCTTGTGCATAGCCTTTGTATGCAATTTGTGATAAAAGTTGTTTTATTTGTAAGGTTTTAAATGTGAATTTATAGATATTCATGTTTATTTAAGTAGACAAAGTCAAATAGGCAAATTTATGTTCTTGAATATATAGAATAAACAAGGTTATTGAAACAGATGCAAGTTTGATCAATTTGCATTTGTTCCCAACAAATAACTGAAAAATATAAATACAGATGCACAAAAATGTTACATGCGCTTTTAAATTAGCAGTCTGCCTCTAAATTTTTATGTAAATATTTGCACAGATATGATTTTATTATATTTAAGGGATTATAAGTTTCAAACTGCTGGTCAGTGTGTTTTGACTCTGCCAAATACAAATGTTGAATTTTTACTAAAGATATTAGGCATTTAAGATTACTAATATCTTTTATATTGAAAATATAATGGTCTTTTTTACAGAATGCGGGTGAACAATCTATTGCAAATTTGGATACATTAAGGAACGCTAGCGGTAGCATTTCTACAGCCGACTTAAGATTGCAACTTCAGAAAACAATGCAAACGCATGCCGCTGTATTCAGAGAGGAAAAAACATTGAAAAAAGGTTGTGAACTTACATCTGGTCTATACAAACAAATGAAAGACTTGAAGTTATTCGATAGGAGTCTGATTTGGAATTCAGATTTAGTGGAGGCTCTTGAATTACAAAATTTGATGATCTGTGCTAGACAAACAATTGTAGCCGCTGAAAATCGTAAAGAAAGCCGAGGTGCCCATGCTAGAGATGACTACAAAGTCAGATGTGATGAATTTGATTATAGTAAACCATTAGACGGACAAACTCGTAAACCAATGACGGACCATTGGAGAAAACATACATTGACAACTGTCAATATCGACACAGGTGATGTGAACATTACTTATAGACCTGTAATAGATAATACATTGGATTCTAAAGAATGCGCTACAGTACCACCGGCAATTAGATCATATTAAAGAAGAATATTCTTTTGTATATTTTTGATTTGAAAGTAAGAGTTTAATTTGAAGGTGTACAATTTGAGTAAGAGCTCATAAGTATTACTAGCCGAGATCTATATAACATTATTGAATGATATGTACATAAGTTATGAAATCATGTAAATTATTTATTTTCAGAATTATTTTAAATCCTTAATGTACATTTTTAGCAAAAGTTGTTTATCACAAAAATATATATATTTTAATATCAAGTTTAATATTGTACTTACATATTAAAATTATTTATTTACAAACTATTGTTTTTAAATATTGAGAATATGCGATTCTTAAATTATATTACAATGAGATTTATGAAAAATAGTGGAAAGCAACGTAATCTGCATAATGTGAAACATCACAAGCTCATTTTTCTATAGAAGAACATTGGCACAATTGGATACCTACTTAAGAATAACATGAATAATATGAAATATATATAATTTGAGAAATATCATTGATGTCATAACTGGCCTTAGAATATCTTACAAAAGAATATTGAAACAGGCAGCCTGATTTTGAGTTTTGGAAATCATAAATAGCATAATCATGCAATAGGTGTTATCAGATTCATGACTATGATATTATTTATTTTACCATTTTTATTTATTTCATGAACATGTATCATATGGTTTGTATAGTTTTAATTTGATATAAATGATAAAGAGAAACATGGTAAATCGGAATTTGCTGTCTTTTGTATATAAATATCGTTTCTAGACATGATAATAAAACAAACTTTCAAAAATCATAAAACGATTTTTTTTTTATGGAAAGAGACATTAATTATAATTTGTGGGAATCTCTAATTATAATTTGTGGGAATTAGTGTTGATGACTGCGTCGTTTGAATTAGTAATGTTTAAATTTTATTCATTTTTGTTAAATTTAACTAGTATATTTGTCAAATTTGTACAAGTTAACATTCTCTTATAGTTTCTAACAGTAAAGGGCGCACAGCAACTCATCATACTTATAAATTACTTAAACTAATAAATTTATTGCTTATATAATATGTCAATTATGAACACTTATTGGGAAATGTAACAGCTTGCCTTAATTTAAAATGCCTACTGTATTCTGTTTAATTTTTAAGAGTTTATTAATATACGCAAACAGGTATGTACAGGGCGTATCATATGTATGTCATTCTTTTGCAAATCGCATGGGTTTTGGAGAAAATAAAATATCACATTTCAGAATTGTCAAAATTTTTTTTTATAGATATTATACATAAAATTATTCGACACGTATTTCAGGGTTTTGCTGAAAAAAATTCATTGACTTAAATATTTTTGAATGAAATATGGATGATTTGCTCAATTTTGATGAACTTCCTCTGCGTTAAATTAATTATCTCCAGTCGTGATGATTAGATCAGTATTATTAATTTTATTATACTCACATTGAAGTTAACTTTATAAAAAAAATGTTGTTACAATTTTTTTAACAATAAAATTCAATTGCTTACAAAGGTTTTTACCTACCTTTTTCCCAACTTAAATCGATTGAAAAAAATCTTTTTTTGCTATTTGTTGGAGCCTCTGTTACATCGAAACATATTATTGAACCGATACTGCCGCACAACAGACCAATGTTATGGTAAGGCTATTTTATGAAGAACTTTACATACTAAATTTGGTTGCTGTGCCGCACAAATGTAAAAAAACGATCTTATTGTTAGGTAACAGGGTCATTCTGGCTCTTTTATGTTTCATAACATACAAGTGACATTGCTGTTTATGTGTAAAACGCCTGAATGCACAGCAAATATATGACATTTTGATAGTATTCAGTATGATTCAGTAGCATAATGTATAGAAGTTGGAGCGTAACATGGCCTTGCCATAACATTGGTCTGCTGTGCGGCAGATCGGCCCGTAAATATTTTTGAGCCCGAATCGCGCTGTCCGCGTCGGAGACCTCAAAGACTTGTACTCATTTGTCACTTTCGAATTTCCATCTTATTGTTTTTTGGTTGAAAAATATTTTATAATTTTGTTTTATAAAATAAATATATAGTCAAAAAAATTGTTAGGAAAGAGCGGGGCTTAAAAGTGTTCGGGTCAAAAAGGTCCAGTACTAATCTCAAAAACAATTTTTAACAACAATATTTGAGTTTGATTCGACCGTTTTTGGGTTGGGTTTATCATTTATCAGATCTCAAGCCGGACTCTGCTTCAGAGGACGCTTAACGACTCCAACGACTCCGACCACGTCTTTTCTATGGGGTGTTTTCTTTTTGTCTTATATAAATATAGAGAAGTATATACACATTTACACAAAACTTTATTGCTCGATTACTTGATAACTTCGAGAATATTTTAAAAACTATTGCGATCGCCAAGAAGGCTAAGATAAAATTGATGTCGAAGACGGAGCCCTACTTTCAATTACAGGATTTATTCTTTTTTGAAAAGAGACCAGTCTACTAAGCAATCAGGCGCACAGAAAATTTATAAATAATATTGATAAAATATTAAAAAAAATTACCAGTCTTTCTGAAATGTCAGGTTCTAAAATTTGTTGACCGGGCCTGGCGATCAACCCAACGATTATATTTGAAGAGAAAAAATTGAATTCTTTGAATATATTCATATGAAAATGATGTTGTAAATATTATGTATGCAATAAAAGCAAAACTTTTGTAATAAAATATTTTTCACTAGATAATAATATGTACCTCACATTTCCCTTTTACTAAATTTCGAGGATTAATTGCATATAGGGTATTTCTATTAGCTTGGTATACTATTGAAATCAAAGGCTATGGAAAAAGTAGATTAGATGCATTTATGTAATTTTTGAATTTTAAGACGATAGTAGTTATTCAATTGAGCTGTTTGACGCATTGTGTTTGAGCACAATTTCATTTTTCTGTATTTTTGCAGTTATATTTTTGTATTTTATGAAAATACATTATTTTGGGTAATACTTAAAAAGTTATAAAATTGCCTGTAAAAGGCGATCACTAGTTTGGACGAAAATCTCTCTTTGTTTTTGGTAAAAACCGTTGACAAATCTGTACGTGTTAACAGATCTAGAACAATTTATGGAAGCGGATATGACAAACTCTCGGATATGACTCCGCTCAACGTTTCTAGATATAGCTGTGTGGTAATCTGTACAAATATTTTAATAAAGGATAAAATAATAGCAACACAAATCAGAGTTAAATGAAAATTATAAAGAATTTCCTTTTGCCGTTACGTAAAACAATATTATCTATGAAATTAAATTCATTGTCGAATATTGTCAGGCTATTCATTTCTAATTTAAGTTTTTCTTAAATATTTTTGAACGCATGCGAATCTAATGAGCTATTTAAGGCTTTTTCACATAAAAATCTAAATAATAAACTAAGTGACGATTATTTTATTGTTTTATTAAAGCTAACAATGTTTTCTAGTACAAAATAATAATACTGTTGTATCTCAGATCACTTGTAAGCTCTGTTGAATAAATTTCCAAAAACACGTATTGTAGTAAAAAAATTATAATATTTCTTCAAAATAGCGCAGCAAAAATTTATACAACAGATATATCTTTGAAAATCATAACACTTATAAAATACTACGAATAAAATAAAAGTTATTTTGAAGTAAAAACTATAAATAAAAAATAGTTACAAAAGATGCAAAAGTCACTGCAATATTTTTTCGAAATCATTTTACTTATCTCAACTAAAAAACAGTCGATATGTAAATTTTATTCGCTATATAAATAGAAAATATGTACTTTCTAAACGATTAATTCTATTAATTTTCTACAACGTTATGCCTGCATTGTGTTATTACCATTAGGTGTAGGTTTAACATTATCTGTAACATCTAATTGAACATTATTAAGGTTATCGCTTGTCCCTCCTTTATTCCAAGACTGTTCCTCCCCGCTTCCCCATACTGTGAAAGCAATAAATTCTATAAAATATAATCCAACAGTTACAAAGAAAATTATCCTCCAAGCTTCCACAGTATTCTGCAATTATAATAGAATATGATCAAGTTTAGTTCAAATTAAAATTTAAACGATTAAATTTTACAATTGACTCACATTATTGTTTGTTATAGCGCCGACGAACACTGGAACAATTATTCCCGAAACAGTTCCGGGTACATTAGTAAATGCCATCAGGGTTCCTGCAAATTTGGGCGCAATATCCATGTGGTTGATGACGAAACCGCTGAACATTGCACCGTGACATGCCACCGCGATGCAGAGGAGAGCGGCGCCAACGTATCGCTGGCATCCGACGAAGGTTATGAGAGCCATGCAGAGAGCTGGACCCAAGGACGCTGCCAACGAACAAGAAATATTTATAAATATAAATTTATGATACATTGTCGAATCTTTTGACAACTTTGAAAAAATGAGATTTTTGAAAATTTTTGACAAAAATTAACCTTTTAGAAAAAAACGATTTTTTTTAACTTTCCGTAGAGCAAGTTATAATAATCGCAAAAAAAACGAAAATGAAAATTTTTGTATATCTTCACGTTTCAAAGGTTTCTGAATATTTTGGCGTACCTTAGAAAAAATGGATGTATGTGTGTGTTTGCGGATATAAATTTTCGTCGACGTTTTCGGGAACACTGATCAACCGATTTGACTCATTCAAAAACATTCGATTCGTATAGATAAGGAGACGTTCTGATTAGTTTTTGGCGAAGGCAGGTCTAGACGTTCCGAAGATACGGGGCAAAATGTGCCAAAAATGATAACTCAGTTTTTAAGAGAACGGAGCGTCCGATTTTAATAATTCAAAAAACATTTTACTTGTATTGACGAAATAAACAACTGGTAATTTTGGGAAGCCAGGCCCAGCGGTTATGAACTCCCAATAAAAATAAGTTAAAAAAATGTCATTTGGCGGTCAAAAATGTTTATTGAACATATGTACATCAAATTATCAGATATTTTATAGAGATTTGAATATTGTGTACATTATAGATAAACAATGTGTACACATTTTGTGTAATTTTTTTTGTAATTTTATGATTTGTATGATTAAAAAATCCATCGATTCGTACTCGATCGCAAGGCGTTTTTGCAAAAGGCAATTTTGCCGTTTTGGAGGTATGGAGCGCAAAGTGTGTAAAAACGATTAAGCAGTTTCTGTGAAAACGGATTATCCGACTAGATTAATTCAAAAAACATTTTGCTCGAGTAGATAGTGTGCAAAAAATGCATACACAGAAAATTTAGTAATTTTGAAAATTTTCAAAAAAAAATCAAAATTTTCAAAAAAATTCAAAGATTCAAAAAATTCAATGTTTCGAATTTTTTCTTCATTTAAAAAAAAAAAACTAAATCTTGAAAAATTAAAAAAATTGATTTTTTTCAAAAATTTGAGAATATTTTGAAAATAATCTTTGTAAATAATCGACTTAATCAATAAAAAATAAATTAATTTATGAGTTATTAAAAATTCCGAGTGGATTTATTACACATAATTGTAAACGAACACGTTAACTCGGAGTATTTTCTAAAAACAAATTTTCAAAAGTCAATCATTTTTTTATAATTGAACCAGTTCCCGTAGGACTTTAATGGTTTAGTATGTTCATTAATACCACGTATTCTATCGCTTTACCAAGTAAATCGTCTAATTTTAATTTTAAAACTAATTTTCTCAAACTTTGATGAACTTTTATAATTAAACTACTTGTCGTAAGGCCGTAATATTTTAGTAAGTTCTATAAGACCATGATATATATCGCCAAAAAAAGTTCCACAAAAATCGTCTTAAATTTTTTTTCAACAGTTAATTACAAAAAAACGGCTCGGTAGATTTTCACCTAAAACTAATCAGTATCATTCCCAACTAATATCTTTCGAACAGTTTTTGATTTTTTAAAATCGATTCGGTAGTATGAGCTTAAATGTGGACGAAAAGTTCAACACTTTTTTTCAAATTACAAAGAAACGGCTCGGCCGATCGTCGCACAAAACTGACAAACAATACTTCTCATTGAAATACATCAAATGGCTTTTAAATTTCTGATATCGGTTCAGGCATTGTTGAGGAAACGTCGATGAAAGGTCTAATTTTGACAAATGCCAAAAAACGATACCAATTTTTGCAAACTTTGACAAATTTTTAAAGCCAAACGAGTTGCCGTAGGCCGGTAATATTTTAGTGACTATGGTATCTACCGTTGAAAAAAATTAAAAAATTTACGAAAAAAAATTTTTTAACACTTTATTACAAGAAAACGGCTCGGCCGATCTGTACCAAAAACTAATCAGCTTTTTAGAATCGATTCAGAATTGGGGGCTAAAACGTGGTCGCAATTTTTTCCACTTTTCTGCTATTTATAAAAAAACGATTTGGCCGATCATCGCACAAAACTGACAAACAATAGTCCTCATCGACATACATCGAATGGCTTTTGAATTTTTGTAATAGGTCCTGCTGTTTGTCAGAAAACGTCGATTTACGGCAAAAAATCTGTTCACACACACGCACACAAACTTTTTTCAAATTTGGTTCAAATTCGATTCAGAATGGCTTGAAACGTCGAGAAAACATAAAATTAGCGAATCGGATTTTTTGATGAAAACATAAACTTCTCTTTCGAGAAGTTAATAAAACCAAAAAATATTAGCCAAGAAATATAGATTTTTTTAACTTCCCGTAGGACAAGTTATAGTAATCGCAAAAAAACGAAAATGAAATTTTTTATATATCTTTACGTTTCAGAGGTTTCTGAACATTTTGGCATACCTTAGAAAAAATGGATGTATGTGTGTGTGTGTGTGTATGTGTGTGTATGTATGTATGTACGTGTATGTATGTGCGGATACAAATTTTCGTCGACGATTTCGGGAACACGGATCAACCGATTTGAATAATTCAAAAAGCATTCGATTCGTATTGATAAGGAGACGTGCTGATTAGTTTTTGGCAAAGGCAGGTCCAGCCGTTCCAAAGATACGGGGCAAAAAGTGCCGAACACGGTAACTCAGTTTTTAAGAGAACGGAGCGTCCGATCTTAATAATTCAAAAAACATTTGACTTGTATTGACAAGATGAAGAATTGATCAAATTTTCATGAGGGCAGGTCTAGCGGCTTCGGAGATCTAACGAAAAAAGTAAAAAAAAATGCCATTTGGCGGTCAAAAAATGATCATTAGACATATGCACATCAAATTATCAGATATTTTATAGAGATTTTAACAATAAGTATAAATTTTGTTTGCATTCCTATGGGTTCCGTACCAATGTTTATTCGTTAGACGGCGACGCGGCGCTTACGCGCTTTGACATTTTGTCTTTATGCAGTTAAAGCAGTACGATTGCGTTGAAAAAAAGTTCAGATCTTCCCAAATATGCCAAAATAAAGAACACATTATTTTTTTCAAAAAAATTAAAAAAAAAAAAATTTAAATTTTTTTTTTGAAAAAATTTTTTTTTTCAAAAAAAAGTAATTTTTTGTCCAATTTATAGTTTCTCAAAAATCTTATTTTTTCGAAGTAATTTTTTTTTAAAAATGTCAATCGTTTTTAAAAAAATAATAATTTTTGGTACGGAAAGTTTCAGCAATTTGCCTTAAGGCACGATGCCTTAATTGCCTTAAGACAGAATTCCACTTACAGCTAGTTTACTTACATATTGTTGTGGATAACTTCCTTGCTTTTCCTATAGAAATAGATCCTTTCTTGATGTAATGATCAACAACATATCCGCAAATTACGGTGGATATTGCCATAGCCAGAAATGATATTGCAGTTATTACACCATTCTGAAAATATGTTTGTAATATTTAATCTAATAGTTTTAAGACAACTTTTCATATACTTTTAAGCAGTGAACACTTTGCTCGCTCAAAGGCAAGGAACGAATCGTACTAATGTTCTAATCATAACTATACAATTTTTCCCTTTTCCTTTCCCTTATCTAGTGTTAATATACTTTATATAAGTAGAATATTAAAATAATTTTAAAATTATTTGTGCGATCAGTAAATGAAAACAATGGAGATGGAAGAATGGACGAGATTTTATTAACAATATAATATGGTTGGAAACTAAATAAGTGCGGTTTTCACTCATAGATTACTTTAATTTAATTTTTAGGATTGCTAGCGTTGCTTAAATAAAAATTTTCTTAAGACTACAGAATTACCTCTTCAATGCCGAATAATAAAATAGTCCTCAAATATATTGGCAGCTCGATAAGCAGAACATAGTAACCCCAGTTTGAGCATGTGTGACAAATTACTATGGACCAAAAAGGTTTAGATTTCACTATATCTCGCCAAGGTAATTTCGGTTTCTGACAGTTGAAAGAAAAAATACAATAATTAGGATATTAAAAAATATACCTGAAAATAATAGTAAAATTTCGAATATTGATAATTGCTAATGAATTATGTAGAGGTTTGAACAAAGAACCCAATCCAATGGCAATAAAAAAGCAAAAAGATTTTTAAAAAGATTTTTATTTATTATCGATGTTTCGAAACTAAGTACGTTTCATCTTCAGGAAACATGAACTTGAATCAAGAAGAACCATACCACTGTTCGAAGACTACACAATATTTACAAATACAAGATTTAAGCATCTAATATTTAATTAAAGTTGGTCTTATCATACTCGGTTCGGTTAGGAACCGGCTAACAACAACCGGATCAACAACTTAACCCAGCGGTTTCCAACCAGTGGGGCGCGCCCCCTCAGAGGGACGCCAGGCTGTTGTAAAGGAGGCGCGTATATCTGTTTCCAAAATACTATTTATCAACAATAACCCAACATTTTTGGAACAATATTAAAAAATAAACAAAAATAATTAATTTTCATGCTTAACAACTCGGAAACTGTGATTACTCCTGAACCTAATACTCAACACAAATGTGTTCCATAGTCTGTCGTACTTGAAATACGTTTACAAACAGTTCAAACAAAATTGTTCATATTATTTTAAACAAGTGGTGCATGGCATTGTGCCTTAAGGCAAATTGCTGAAACTTCCCGTACAAAAAATTAAAACTTTTAAAACTGTTTAATTTTTTTTTAAATCTTTGAAAAAATTAGGTTTTTGAGAATTTTGAATTAACTTTATTTAAATGATTAGAATTTTTTTGAAAATATTGATTTTTTTTCAAAGCATTTACGGTGCGTATAGCTGTTTCAGAGATGAAATAGTGAACTCGTCAGCGCCGCATTTGAGTCTGAACATTTTAAATCTTGGTACGAAACCCATAGAAATGTAAACAATGTAATGATCATTTTTGACCGTCAACTTGCTTTTTCTTACTTCTTTTATTGGATCTCCAAAACCGCTAAACCTGCATTTTCAAAGTTTCAATCAATTATTCATTTCGTCAATACAAGTAACATGTTTTTTGAATCATTCAAATCGGACACTTTGTTCTCCCAAAAGCTGAATTACCATTTGTGACACTTTTTGCCCAGTTTCTTCAAAATGGCCAGACCTGCTTTTGCCAAAAACTAATCAGCACATCTCGCCATTAATACGAATCGAATGTTTTTTTAAATTATTCAAATCGGTTGATTCGTATTCCCGAAATCATCGACAAAAATTTATATCCGAACACACACACATATACATACATTTCTTTGCCAAAAACCTTTAAAACGTATAGATATGCAAAAAAAACATTTTTGATTTTTTTGCGGTTATTATTACTTCGTAAGTTAACAATTACTATTTTATACATCTCAATATGCATACAAATGACAAAATTATTAGCCGAATCATTACAGACACAAGCAAATATCTGTGTATGTTAACAGATCTAAGAAACGTCTAGCAAACTCAGGTATAACTCCGAAGTTATATCCTCGAAAAGAACTAACTCCGGGCTTCAAAGAGAGACTTCAAAAACTCGCTTTTCTGAGGAATTTTTAGGAAAGGAAATGAATATTTAATTGAAACGGAACTTTCCGGTTTTGTTGATATATATTTCATAATTCTTTTCAGATTTTTTCATTAAAATATATGTCATAATATGCCGGGTACAAGCATTTTGCCGATGCGCCACGATGCGCGTGCAGGTATCATTTGGCGGGAAAAATGCAGATCACAATTTTCATCCGAAACAAAAAAGTCAAAACATATATATATTTTCAATGGTGAAGATTCTAGTTGAACCTAGTAAATCCAGAAAAAGATAAAAAATTCACCAACTTGCAACCACGCAATTCTTTGCAACTTGAAAAAAATAAATCATGTTTTTTGATACAACATTTCATTTTAGATTGTCTTAAAAGTGGCTTAATTATAATTTGTATAAAGTTTTTTTAGGTTCAACTAGAATAGAATTTTGAATACAATGATTTTTATCTCGTTCCGATAGGGCGTTTAGTTTTTTTCCTATCTTTCACGCCAATTAGGAAGAATTGGAAAAATGAAAAACCGGGAAATCGCGCGTCGAAGTTTTCGTTCCGCTCGTATACATGCTTGGCGCTTGCTCACTATTTATTCTGTAACTCCGAAAATAATTTGAATTTTTTACTGAAATTTTATTGATATATTCTTGGCTAGTTTTGAAAGACATTTTTGCAACAAAAAATCGATTTTTTTAAGCCTCTAAAGCAGGCTCTACCTTAACTCTAATATGTATATACTATGGTACTTTTATTGATGTAACTAACCTCAGCGGTGGCAGAACTCTGTATTTTTGTCTCAAGCATCTCGCGTTCTGCCTTACCTATGTATTTATGTTGACTAGGGTAATCCGTGACGTAAAATGCCCATGATATTACCCAGGGAACAGCTAAACATCCACTTACGTAGAATACCGATTCCCATCCTAAAAGATAGAACTAGTAGAATCAGTATACATATTTTTATTCATATTAACTGATTAATGTTGATATTTACCTAAATGGCTAGAAAGTGCGCCTGACATGTATTGAGATATCACAGTACCTAGGCAAGTGCCGGTGTATGTCAAGGAAGACAATTTCGAACGTTCTTCTTTTGGAGACCAATGTGATAGAAGACAATGTGTGCAGGGAAATGTGACTCCCTGTTGGAAATAATTGTAACTAGTTGGGTATGTTGCTATGAGGCAGGTATGAACTTTCCGATATATTGACAAATCATGCCAATTCTTATTGTATTTTTATTCTTATTGAATACATTATATTGCAACTAAGCGTTAGTGACATTTTCTTATATGATCTTAAATTGTACTATAAAGTTTAATAATTTAAGAATATGCGTACGATACTCTTGATAATTACTCTTCTGTTTCTTTCCTTTTGCAAAACTTTGAACGCATTTTTTTCAGAACTGTATTTTTAATACGATGCCCACGATTTCTCGAATTCTACCAGGTCGATTAACTTAAAATTTTCGGAGAATCTTTTTATATAGATTTCTCTCTGGCATCCCCAAATTCCGAGTTTTACTTAAAAGAAATCGAGAAACTGAATTTTTAACTTAATCCTGGTATATGCCATCGCGACATAATTCTAATTCAATAATATTTTTTCCATTTCGGATTGCTAGAAAGGTTGCAACTGTGGCCATATAGTCAAGTGTCAATTTTTGAGAACCCACACTTCAACCACTGCTAAACTTTGAAATTAATAACATTTTTTTTTAACTTCCCGAAGGAGAAGTTTATGTTTTCATAAAAAAATCCTAATTTTATGTTTTCTCGACATTTCAAGCCATTCTGAATTGAATGAGACCAAATTTGGAAAAAGTATGTGTAAAGTGTGTGTAAGATTTATTGCCGTAAATCGACGTTTTCTCAAAAACGGCTGGACCGATTTCGAAAATTTAAAAACCATTCGATGTATATGTATGAGGACTAGCGTTTATCAATTTTGCGCGACGATCAGCCAAGCCGTTTCTCTGTAAATAGCAGAAAAGTGAAAAAATTTTCGTACACGTTTTAGACCGCAGTTCTGAATCGATTTTGAAAATTCAAAAACCGTTCGAAAGATATTGGTTGTTGAACCGTGCTGATAAGTTTTTGGTAAAGATCGGCCGGGCCGATTTCTTGTAATAAAGTGTTGAAAAATTTTCTTTCGACGATTTTTATTATTATTTTTTTGACGGTAGATACCATAGTCTTCTAGATCATACTAAAATATCACGGCCCTACGACAACTCGTTTAGCTTTAAAAATTCGTCAAAATTTGCAAAAATTAGTATCGTTTTTTTGGCATTTGACCGATTTCAGAAATTTAAAAACCATTTGATGTATCTCGATGAGGATTATCGTCTGCCGTTTTGTGAGACGATCTGCCGTTTCTTTGTAATTTGGAATAAAGTGTTAAACTTTTCGTCTACATTTAAGCTCATATTACCGAATCCATTTTAAAAAATATAAAATTGTTTGAAAGATATTAGTTGGGAATGATACCGAGCCGTTTTCTTTTAATTAACTGTTGAAAAAAAAATTTAAGCCGGATTTCATGATACTATTTTTGGCGATATATATCATGGGCTTATAGACCTTACTGAAATATTATGGCCTTGCGTCAAGTAGTTTAATTTTAAAAATTCATCAAAGTTTGAGAAAACGAGTAGTTTTTATGACGTTTGTTAAAATTAAAATTAAACGATTTATTTGGTATAACGATAGGGTACTTGGTCTTAATGAACACGCGAAACCATTAAAGTCGTACGGAAACTGGTTCAATTATAAAAATTGTTGATTTTTGAAAATTTGCTAGTTAACGTGTTCGTTCGTTTCCAATGATGTGTAATAAATCCACTCGCAATACTTTTAATCACTCATGAATTAATTTATATTTTATTGACTAAGTCGATTATTTAAACATATCGGAAAGTTCATGTAACTTGCCTCAAGGCAAAATACCAATATCAACTAGTTTACATTTTAATTTATCTCTGTACTCTTGTAACGTTTATAAATAAATTACAACAAAAAGTATATTTAAAAAGATTGATTACCTGTTTTTTATGATGATTTAAAAACGATCTGAAATTTAGGCCTCTTTACTAGAATACCCCCTTTATCAATAAGATATAAATATATTTATAAGTATAGAGTGTCTACAGCAACTCAAAATTTATGCCATACTAGTGATTTAGATCAATTTTATTGAAATAATCAGTTGTTTGGTACAATTTTACCATACACATACAATGGACAAAATGACATAGTACTATTTCGAAAGCATTACGAAAATTAATTTAAAAAATTGAAACCTGTAAATGATGATTGGCTTTGAACTTTTATTAAAAGCATGCGAGAAACAGTAGTTGAAAATAGTCCAAAAAATCCACCGATATAAAGGAGAGACTTGCATTTGTTGCAAAACTCTCTTTCTCCGTTCTGAGCCCGGAAAAGATTGTTTACAACATCCTTACCCTATATGTCATTTTGCCAGTATTTTATCGACAAAACGGTTTTTGTAATATGTAGCATTTTTCCTCAATAAAAATGTTATTATAGTTTCTACTTAATTAAAATGCTAAGTCAATGAAACTGATTATTATATCAATAAATAAATTAATATCATTAAAAAACAAAACAACATGTCATTTTGTCCGTGCTTTCCCTACATGTATACATTAATATATTAACCATTTTGCTATAAGGGTTCTACGTTTTCCTACATTAATGATTTGCGTTCGATCAAGATGACTCGTTTTAATCATTAGAAATAGAAACTAGACAATAAACGTATATTATTATTTTAAGTTGACTTACACCACCGATTCCTTTAAAGAATTGGCAAGCTATGACTCCTGCATAGCCTCCATATATGGCAGCAATTGGCGTCAGCAGAGTGCTGGCCATGCACATCACCACCGCGAAGAACATTACCCATTTGGCGGAATACAGCTCGGATATACGTCCACCTTGTCATTTTAAAAAGTCATTAATAAACTATAAATAGTTTGGATTATATTATATTATTCGAATAATAAAAAATGTGGCTGCGAAATATTATTTTTATCATTGATAAATAATACAGTTAATTAAAAAAATAAATATTAAATTGTATTAGTCGCATTAGAGTTAAATTGTTAAAACAGTTATTAATATTTTATGTTTTTTTTACTGACAAAATGTTAACTCAAGTAATAAAAATGCTGCCTTCGACAATTTCAATCAAATCGTAAAACTAGTGGGGCGCATGGCATCGTGCCTTAAGGCAAATTGCTGGAACTTTCCGTACCAAAAATTATTTTTTTTAAAAATAATTAACATTTTTGAAAAAAATTTACTCTGAAAAAATTAGATTTTTGAGAAACTATAAATTTTCGACAAAAACTTAATTTTTGAAAAAAAAGACTTTTTGAAGAAAAATTTATTTTGAAATATTTAATATAATAACTGCATAGAGAGGAAATATCGAAGCGCGTAAGCGCCGCGTCGCCGTCTAACGGATAAACACTGGTACGGAAACCATAGGAATGTAAACAATATTTATACTTATTGTTAAAATCTCTATAAAATATCTAATAATTTGATGTGCATATGTTCAATGATCATTTTTGACCGCCAAATGGCATTTTTTTTTACTTTTTTTACTAGATCTCCGAAACCGCTAAACCTACCTTCATTAAAATATGATCAGTTGTTCATCTTGTTCTCTTAAAAACTGAGTTACCGTTTTTGGCACTTTTTGCCCCATATCTTCGGAGCGGCTAGACCTCCCTTAGCCAAAAACTAATCAGCACGTCTCCTTATTAATACGAATCGAATGTTTTTTAAATTATTCAAATCGCTTCATCCGTGTTCCCGAAATCGTCGACGAAAATTTGTATCCGAACACACAGACATACACACACACATACATACATTTTTTCTAAGGTATGCCAAAATGTTCAGAAGGTTTTGAACCGTAAAGATATATAAAAATTTTCATTTTCGATTTTTTTGCGATTACTATAACTTGCCCTACGGAAAGTTAAATATAATAAGAATAAAAATATTTTTAGATGAGTTAGATAACCACATTATGTAAGAAAAATTTTAAATATTAACAATATTATTTCTATTTAAAAATTAAAAACAGATGATCTTTCATCGATGATATTTTAAATTAAAATAATATTTAACTAAATAATAAATATTTTTGATTACACATTATAAATAATGATAAAAGTTTGATTTTATATTTTAATATATTCACGACCAACGCATAATTTTTTTTTTAGAAATGCAAAAATGTTCAAGTTCATTCCATAAATCAATCAATTAATCAACAAAACTTTGTAAAAGAATAATATACTTAAATTTACCAACTTAATTAAAAAAAGAAAACATCATGTATAATAAATGTTTTAATTTAAAGGTTACATAGAGCAGATTCAGCAGAGTTGAAAACAATAAATTTCAGTTTAGATTTAATAGTTAAATATAAAATGGAAATCTGCTGTCTATTACATTTTACATATTGCTGTAGGACCACAAGAAAACAATGGAATTAATATTCATTTACTCAAAGAGACCATAGGAGAGACAGGGTACAGTTGTGTCACATTTTGTTTTGAACAGCAAAAATTTTGTTAATTTACCAGTTAGCTGCAAGAAAAGTAAATCAAATGGTAATTTGAATATTTGTCTACATGAAACTACTAAAATACTGTCCTTCATACGATGGATTAATCACAAAAATGATCATACAAAAAAGGGCGATTGTCACTACCGTCCACACTCCAAATCATCGTTATGATCGAGCTAAATAATCTACGCAAAAACTTTTTGGCGGTAAGTAGCTACTAATGTTCAATTTGCAGCAAAATAACAATCAAAGTGATCTATCTGTATATAAGTAACAGTTATTATTAAAAGAACACAAACGGAAAACTTACTTTTGACTCTTTAAAAACAATGCGGTCTAAAGATCATGTTAATGTAGCTGACTGAAAGCAATAATAGGAACTAGGGAATGCAATACCGATGGAAAATTTCAATACCGGTATTTCGGTAATTTTTCATTTTAAAACCGAAATATCGGTAAATTACCGGTATTTTTATTATCTTAAACAAACGTAAACAAAATTGAAAGTTACTAGTACAAATATAAAAAAAATGACTATACAACTACAACTATATTCAACTAAACAATAAAAACAATAAAATAAAACAATAAGTTTATTTTTTTAAATGATAATTTAACAACAGTATATGCAATTTAATTAATTCATTATCACTATCGAGTATATTGAGTAATTTTCACCAAAAACAAACTTATGAGTAAGAAAGACCAAAAACTCATAAAAGATCTTATTACATTATTATAATAAACTGTATTGTCTGTATCCGATGTGTTAAATTAGCATAATCTCCAATATTTTAAAAAAATAATTTTTCTACACTAATTTAAGATCGGATACTTTGTCGAGATAAATAATAAGTTACTATAATTGTTATTTAAAACAATGTGATGCTTCTATAGTATTTTCAAACTTCGAAACGTTTTCGAGAAATAGTATTTTATAATTGTAATAAGAAGCAAAAATATTTAGTAATTATCATAATTATTATGTATAAAGTTAGAAAAAAATAAATATTACGCAGGGGTAATTTGTATGATATAAAATATTTTGGCGCAAATATCACTTAAAAAATCGTTACATTTTTACAAAAGATGAAACAAACATCATTATCTATCATTCCAATTCTATTTAATGTAACACGATATGAAGCCCTTAGTAAAGCAATAAATATTCAGTTTAATGACGAGTTGAGATAATATTTGGCATTTGTTTATCCTATATAATCACTTGAAGATATAGCTGTTTATGCGATTATGGAATTTAAAGATAAATTTGTTCCGAGAAATTTAAACTTTAGTTTATTATATATCAAATATCGCTTATGTAATAATACCGAAAATACCGCCGAAAAATCGGGCGGTTTACCGGTAATTCGGTATACCGGTATACCGGTATACCGGTATTGCATTCCCTAATAGGAACAATCATACTACATCTTTGTTGCTCGAGACCCAATGACAAAATCGTATAGTTTAGCTATTATGACAACTGTCACTACCGTACCCTGGCACAACTGTATCCTACTGATCATGATCACATTTTTAATGTGCGATTTGCTATTTTACCGTACAATTTCAGAGAGTACGATTTTATAATATATATTAGTATATTTACCAGCCAGTTAATGGTATGACTTTGTAAAAATCTACTCACCAGGTATCATTGACACGAGATATCCCCAATAATAACTGCTCAATATCAATCCTTGCTGCTGCGCAGTAAATAGAAAAGGTCCGTCTTCTTCGTGCAAATCGCTCGATTCCTTTTGAAAGCCGCATGCATTATCTGTGGAATTGGTCAGGACCACTGTATCAACTGTCTTCATTATTTTCATATGTTCCAGGGCACTGTGGTTGACCATGGCTACAATCGCCACGGAGATGTTGACGCGTAGACCGTAGATCACAGCCATGCCCATCAGGCCGAGGGCAGCCACCGCATACCGCGTCGGAAGATTAGCTGAGGAATCAAATAATCATAAATTATTATTTATCCTTATTATTATATTTCCATATATATATATATATATATATATATATACTGCTTATTGTAATCAGGACTCTCATTTGCCTTATTAATTATAGAGTGAACTAGCTGTAAGTAGAATTCTGTCTTAAGGCAATTAAGGCATCGTGCCTTAAGGCAAATTGCTGGAACTTCCCGTACCAAAAATTATTATTTTTTTAAAAACGATTAACATTTTTGAAAAAATTTTACTTCGAAATAATTAGATTTTTGAAAAACTATAAATTTGACAAAAAAATTACTTTTTTTTGAAAAAAAATTTTTTTTTGAAAACAAAATTTTTTTGAAAAGAAAAATGTTTTCTTCATTTTGACATATTTTGGAAATTCTGAACTTTTTTCCAAAGCAATCGTACTGTTTGAACTGCATAGACACTAAATGTCAAAGCACGCAAGTGCCGCGCCACCGTCTAACGCATAAGCATTGGTTCGGAACCCATAGAAATGTAAAAAAAAAATATACTTATTGTTAAAATCTCTATAAAATATTTGATAATGTGATGTGCATATGTCTAATGATCATTTTTAACCGCCGAATGGCATTTTTTATTACTTTTTTCATTAGATCTCCGGAACCGCTAGATCTGCCTTAATGAAAATTAGATCAATTCTTCATCTTGTTAATGCAAGTGTAATGTTTTTTGAATTATTCAAATCGGACGCTCCGTTCTCTTAAATACTAAGTTACCGTTTTTGGCACTTTTTGCCCCGTATCTTCGAAACGGCTAGACCTGCCTTCGCCAAAAATTAATCAGCACGTCTCCTTATCAATACAAATCGAATGTTTTTTGAATTATTTAAATCGGTTGATCCGTGTTCCCGAAATCGTCAACGAAAATTTGTATTCGCATACACATAAATACACGCACACACACACATACACACACACACACACATACATTCATTTTTTCTAAGATATGCCAAAATATTCAGAAACCTTTAAAACGTAAAGATATATAAAAATTTTCATTTTCGATTTTTTTGCGATTACTATAACTTGCCCTACGGGAAGTTAAAAAAAATAAAATTAGTTTTTTTATTAAAAACGTTCAAAATTATAATTATCTAAAACAAATATGTAAGAAATTACATTACTCGTTTGACATTGCATACTTCAATATATTCTGAATTTGTGAACAAATTCTGACAAATTTTAGTGATGCTTCCAGCACGATTTTCCTTAAAGCACGATGCCATACACCACTAGTTTATTTTTAAGTTTCGAAGTAAATATCAAAACCCACAGAAAAGTAAACATAATTTGTACTTATTATTAAATTCCCAGTAAACTCAGACAAAAATTTGTACCCGCTGGCTCAAATAATATCAAAAGATTTTATCAGTTTACTAAAATCTCTGACCACTTACAAAAAATTATTCGAGCTTAGTAGCTAAATTATCGACAACTTGTTTTATGTTAAGAATTCTTGAGTCAATAGTGAGTTTAAATTGTCTTTTCTCAATTTACTGTACTAATTTCTAATCGCATCCCGCATATAGAACACAATTCTATAGATTTTCGTTATTCTTCCGAAAAATAAATACAAATACCGAGAAGAGCGTTAAGTATAATATTTTCGCAGTGTAGCTGTAGAAATCGTTTTTGACAATTTAACATTCTCACCTCTGAATATTTTTTCTAATCACTTTGTCATTCATAAAGAATAATCCTAGACGCATAAACTTATTAACTTCCCGTAGGGCAAGTTATAGTAATAGCAAAAAATCGAAAATGAAAATTTTGTATATCTTCACTTTTCAAAGGTACCTGAATATTTTGGCATACCTTAGAAAAAATGGATGTATGTGTGCGTGTGTTTGTGCGTGTTTGTATGTGTGTGCGGATACAAATTTTTGTCGACGATTTCGGGAACACGGAGGAAGCGATTTGAATAATTCAAAAAACATTCGATTCGTATTGATAAGGAGAAGATACGGGACAAAAAGTGACAAAAATGGTAACTCGGTTTTTAAGAGAACGGAGCGTCCGATTTTAATAATTCAAAACATTTTACTTGTATTGACAAGATGAAGAATTGATCAAATTCTCATGAAGGTAGGTCTAGAGGTTTCGGAGATCTAGTAAAAAAAGTAAAAAAGAAACGCGATTTGGCGGTGAAAAATGATCAGTAGACATATGCACATCAAATTATCAGATATTTTACAGAGATTTTAACAATAAGTATAAATTTTGTGAGTTCCGTACCAATGTTCATCCGTTAAACGGCGACGCGGCGCTTACGCGCTTTGACAGTTCGTCTCTATGCAGTTAAAGCAGTACGATTGCTTTGAGAAAAAGTTGAGAATTTTCAAAATATGTCAAAATAAAGAAAACATCTTTTTCAAAAAAAAAAAAAAAATTTAACAAAAGTAATTTTTTGACAAATTTATAGTTTCTCAAAAATCTATTTTTTTTCAAAGTTATATTTTTTCAAAATGTTAGTCTTTTTAAAAAAATAATAATTTTTGGTACGGAAAGTTCCACCAATTTGCCGTAAGGCACGATGACATGCGCCCCACTAGTTATTTTTCAGAGATTCAACAATTTTACGCAGCTTTAATCAATTTATTATCTGTAATATCATATAACTATTTTTTTTTTCAGTTTATTTGAACAGCGATCAGAACTTATGGGTTCTATGAGCAGTTGTGATGAATCTCTTACAAACTACGTTTTGTTTTATTATAGATGGCAAGCCAAACAGTAATTTTATACTCGTTATTCGAGAATAAAATAAAAAAAACTTTATTTCTTAAAATTACAATAAAATATATAAAATAACTGAATTTTACAATATAATTATATAACTGGACTGGTGTAAGTACTGGCAAAGATTATCCTCGTCGAATGTAGAGATCTTGCTACTTATATAGTTAAAAATATGCTTTATCAGCAAGGAGGATCTTGTGGCTAGGTATAAGCTATGTCAGCGGGATGGATCCCGTAACTCCTCCGGCCCTAGATGAAAAACCTCGGGGTGCAGGTTGGTGGTTGTGGTTGGTTGTGGCTCTCTTGTTCCTGGGGTGTCTCTACTTCTGGAGTAATTTGTAATTTCTTTTTGTTGAATCTTTGTCTGCAATACTTGAACAGAATATAAATAATGATAGTTATAAGTATTATATACATGATAATTGACACGATGCTGTTGTTGTTAATTCCAGTCTTCCTTGCATAGAGTTTATGAATTTGTTCTTGATCTTCTTTAATTTTAGATAGCTCATTTACTTGAATTGACTTGATTGCAATTGGTTCTGATGATTTTGAAATGTGGTAGTTGAAATTCAATCTTGGTAAAATAATTGCTTTTCCTTCTATAGACGACTCTTGATTGTAATAGTTTTTCTTGTCAATGCTGAATTTACATAAGTGTGGGAGTTTTAAAAGAAAAATTCCTTTAATAAACTTAGTTTCTTCCTGATGATTGCAAATCATATCGATTCTTGATCGTGTGCTTAGTAAAAGAATATAGTGTGCGTTATTTATTTTCTCTATAATATTGTGTGTAATGTTGACTTGAATTTCATTGCATGTTTTGATGTGAGTGTTATCTAGTTGTAATAATTTTATGATACATTCTTCGTCATTTGATAATATGTGTCTAATATTGCAAAAATATTTTTCTGAAACTTCTTTGCAATTTGTATCGTCAAATTGATAGTTATTGTTGCCAATTGTAAGGAAAGGTTTAGGTGGAATAATGACTCTATTTTCGGTATTTGGAATTGGAAACAATTTATAATGTTTATAGGTTTCGGGTAGAGTGATAGGAAATTTGATAAGAAAAACGATTTTTTCGTCTGTGTAATAATATTGAATATTAAGTAAATTATAATATTTGTGAAGATTACTATCGTCTATGGGAAATGGTAATGATTCTACATTGTATAAATTCTTTACAGTATTAATCATAAAATTCAAATCATCTAATTTAATTACTGAGTTATGAACTAAATTCATCTTAGCTAAATCTAATGATATTTCTAAATCGTTTAAAATATTTGCTAAAATAACTAAACTATAATTAATTTGTTCTAAACTATCTTTAGCTATAAAATATTCATTATGACTAAAACTACCGAATTTTAGATAATCATTGATATCATTCAATTTCTTATTTAATATTACATCATTTTCTCTAATATTAATAATTGTTTCATTAAAATATTCAATTAACTTATTATTTAATGTCATTTGTTTATTCAATGTTTTTGCATAAATTTCATCGTTAGTTTCTAATATACGTATAGCGTCATCGTACTTTTTGGCATCTTGTGCATCTAAATTCCCTGTAATTTCCTTAATTATGCTACCTAGTCCGTTAAGAAGTCCTCTTTTAATTCTTCTAACCGGTCTAATAATATTATATTTATCTTTAATAACATTAATCATAGTATTTGTCAAAGAAATGTATGAATCTAATCTTTTCAAATAATCGTTATGTTTATTATTTAAAATAGATAAAAGTGTATCAAAATCTGTAACCAAATTAGTAATCTGTTGTTTAATCAAATCTGTATTAACATAATGAATAAAAATATGATATTTTTCGATTAACTTTGCATTTCCTAATTCAAAAGGTAAAATTCCAGTTGTATTTAATTCTTGAAGAAAAATTTGATCACTGTTTGCTGCTAGTACTAGGTGTAATATCATTAGTTGAAACAACAACATCTTGTTCACGTGGGATTTGCTGAGTATTAGTTTTTGGACGTTTGAGTTCTTGTTTGTGTATCGTAATATTCTTGTCAGTAAGAATTGTATTTCCTAGATCTTTCTGTACTTGTATCTGTTTGTAACGTGAAGCGGTTTTGTCTCGCGGGTTTGATTTTAAATATGCACGTGTGTTTTCGTCGTATTGCAAAGGATCATGTCTTGTTTCGTTATGTTTCGATATTGTTTTGTCTTTGTTGCTATAATTCTGTTCAAAAATTTTC